CCCCCGCCCCAACATTCATTTTATAATCACTGCATTAAGGCATTGGTAGGCACTATGGAGACCTGAAAGATTTCTCTGCCCTGCCGGAGATCATAATCTAGGAGGCGGCATAAAGGAAAAGTCATTGCCTGGGAATTGTCCTTGACAGGAGGCCTGTGCAGCCAGCTGGGGCGGGAGTCCGCTTCCACACAGAGTTTCCCAGTGAGCAGGCCCCAACCTCCTCCTGGGACTCCTGTGGGCTGGGCAGGGGTCACCAGTCTTGGTCTTCCGGTAGGTGGGACCTTCAGTGCCAGGTCCGGCAGTCTGCTGCCTGGGTGTTGTTTCCCTAGCAGGGACTGAACCTGTGAAGTGTCTCACACACAGGCTGGCACACAGACGAGACTCAGTAATTTTAGGGAGGGCATCCACGCCTTTAGTCCAAGCACTCTGGGATGCTGAGGCAGGAGGATCATAAATTCAGGTCCAGTCTGGGCAATTTAGTGAGACTGTGTCAGAGGGAGAGACAGAAAAGAGAGGAGAGAGAGAGGAGAGAGAGAGGCTTTGAGCGGTGGTGGCACACACCTGTTATCCCAGCCTTCAGGGGGCTGAGGCAGGAGAATCAATGCAAATTTGAGGCCAGCCTCGGCTACACAGTGAGTTCAAGCCCAGCCGGAAGTACATAGTGAAACCCTGTCTCAAGAAATAAATGAATGAGTGAATGAGTGAATGACCTGGTATGCAGCTCAGAGCGAAGATCCCGCGTTCAGTCCCCATACTGTAACAGAACAAACCAAACCGAACCAATGACACAACAATAAGAAGGCATGAAAAATGAACACTAGTTACAGCGCTTGTTAATCCGGCCACAGGGCCTTTAGCTCAGTGACTGAGCGACTGCCTAGCATGGCCTTGGTTTCCATCCCCAGCACTGGGAAAACTCTGGGTCACTGAATGGGACGGATGGGCGAAGTGGCAGGCTACAAGCGGCAGTCCGGGTTAAAGTTCATTCTTATAGTGCGCAAGGAAAAAGTGGACCAAAAGGTTAAATAATAGATCTCTGCGGGGCTGGGGATTTAGCTCAGCAGCACAGCGCCTGCCTGGCAAGTGCAAGGTCGTGAGTTCGATTCCCAGTACCAGGAAAAAAAGATAGACTTCTGCAACCATAGGGGAACTAAGAAAGCTACTAATCTAATGTCTTTTTTTGCGGGGGGTGAGGGTTGAACCCAGAGCCTTCACACTGAGCTACATTTTTATTTTGAGACAAGGTCGCAATAAGTCACTAAATTTCCCAGACCGGGCTCCAACTTGGTTATTCTGCCTCAGCCTCCCACAGTGCTGGGATGGGTGTGTGCCACCATGACTGGCAAACTTTCTTAATTTTAACCAACAATTTTTTATGACATGCGGGCCAGGGATATAGATCAGTAGCACAAGTGCCTGCCTGGCAAGCACAAGGTCCTGAGTTCAATTCCCGGTACCAAATAACAAAAAAAAATTTTTTTTTATGACATGTTCACTTTGTTTTTTGAGACAGTGTCTCACTATGGAGCCCAGGCTGGCCTTGAACTTGCAGGGAGTGATCCTCCTGCCTCAGCCTCCCTCCTTAGTGCTGGGATTACAGTCGTGCACCACCACATCTGGCTTTCTGTATCTTTTTCTTTTTTTTGGTACCAGGAATTGAACTCAGGACCTTGCACTTTCTTTTTTTTTCTTTTTAGGACCTTGCACTTTCCAGGCAGGTGCCTATGCCACTGAGTTCTTCTTGTGTTAGTGGTAAGTGAAGTCCCCGTGGCAAAGTAGCTTCTTCAGGACTGTGCAGCAACTCCTACGCAGGCTGAGGCCTCCAAGCTGTGCTGCTTCCCTCCCCGTAACCCTCAGCGTCCTTGCCCAGTCATGCTGGAAGAGTGTCCAACCAGGAAGTACAGAACAACAATATAGATTTTTGATGTTGTTTATTTAATTCTTAAATTCTGAGTGGTTTTTGTTTTGTTTTTCGAGATTTCAGATTCAGGCTGGCTTTAAACTCACCCTGTCGGCCAGGCTGGCATTGAACTCAAATTCACAGCAATCCTCCTGCCTCAGCTTCCCAAGTACTGGGATTACGGGCGTGTGCCTCCGTGCCCAGCTACCAAGGAAAATGTAAAATGTAGCTCCTATAGACTTGTGGATGTGGCTGATCTGCATTCTGTCTCCTTTGGTGTTTGGACTTTATTAATAACTTTGATCTGAATCCTGGGATGAAACATGAAAAGATGAGCACTTTTGTCTACCTGCGTCCCGGAATTCTCCTCAGTAGTCTCCTGTGTCTACATTTGCTTTTCTGTACTGCTAAGGGCGGAAAGCAAAAAAAGGCGTGTTCCCAGGTCTCCTTGCAGCTGGGCCCCTAGCTATAAATTATGATGGAAATGTGAATTGGTTGAAAGGGAGTGGTGGTGAGGGCCTGTAATTGCTGCACTCAGAAGGGGGAAAAGGAGGATTGCTGTGAGTTC